TCCCATTTTGCAGCAAGAGTACTGTGGTAACTCAACATCTGTCATTAATGGTCTACAAGGGTCAACTAGAAACTTTGAAAAAAATTTAACAACTAGGTGTATGTGCGTTTCAAAAAACTTCACATCGGATGATTCTGTGAAGGAGAAGAAATATCGAGTTCTGTGTGTGCGCTCTTTTCTTTTCTTTTTCCTTTTTTTCGCGCACATAGCATAACTTTCTTTCTGAATTCTACTCATACAGATCATCAAATGAGTTAAACCAACTTTCAGTTAAGAGAAGAATACCAAGTCTACTAAACTCACTTGAGAGACTTTAAAAAAAATTGTCTACATTAGTTTCCCAATGAAAAAACTATAACATAACTGAAAAGTATCATGGAGATATAAATAACAATGACAATCACGTAAGCAATTCACATATGCACACATTAGATACTAGCATGCATTGATAGTAAACTAGAAGCATTTCAAGAGCACCAGAAGCATACAAGAGCCTTACAGTCTATCCAGAGTAGCTTCTTCCAGGGATGACAATCATTTAAGCAATTGACATATGCACACATAAGAAACTAGCATGCGTTGATTAGTAAACTAGAAGCATTTCAAGAGCACAAGAAGCATACAAGAGCCTTACAGTCTATCCAGAGTAGCTTCTTCCAGGATCTTAAAATCAGCTAACTTTGACTGCAGAAGTGAGGCAAAAGTGTTTATCACATTTTTTATCATTTTTATACCCATTCAGCAACAAAAGAATAAATGCCATATAAGAAGAAACAATACCTGTATCAAGTCCAGTACTTCTCCAGTTGTCAATACCGAATCTACCTCTGCAAGCTTTTTGCCCATGTCATCATTACCATTTTCTTCTTCACGGCCCATTGAAAATACAAAATCATCCCTAACGGCCTCAAGCTTTTTATCATAACAAGGCATCACAGTCACATGATAGACTTGGTGTGCCCTACAAAAAAATTCATGTTGTGTCACCACACTGTTCATTTATTCTTTGATTATGCGTAACTAAGTTTTACATGAAAAAAAGCGGAAACAATATAGTGCAATGCCAGTAATATAATCTGATGAATACAATTAATTGAAGAAAAGACCTCGTCATTTATACTCCACCATTTGAAATAACCTCATGTATAAGAAACACATCAAAACTCACTTGAGTATTCAAAATGCAGCACATATCCTTCTGCCTCAGAACGCTCTAGGCACAAATTTACAGTTCAGGGGGCTTCTTGATTCTTGATGTGTTTTATAACATAGAAGGGAACCAAAGAAACAGCTTGAAAAGTGTTCTTCATAATTTATGCTACAATCATGGAATTTTGTTGTTATGAGTTACATAGTCACCTATCCATTAGTGTTGTAAGTCTGAGGTGTAGCCCATTTTTCAATAAGAAAAGATGGGAATAGGAGTAAAGATAACCCATTACAAAACATATGGCCTATTATGAATAACCAGCCATGTGTATGATTAAGTAACTCCACGCCTACTGAATTGTGGTCATTAAAGAAGTTGAAAATGGAGGTTTAAATTATTTCTCATAATTCAATCCAGATCCCATACATCTAGACTTGTGTTTAAACATAAGGATAGATTGCCTAGGAAGGCACACGGATATTTATACTTTAACCCAGTATTCAATCATCTTTTAAAGATCAGTTGCAATTACAATTATAATTTAAACCACGTTTTCATCACTATAACTAGCAATGGCAACTCTTACACTCAAGTTGGTATAAACTCAAATGTGTACAAGTCGTCATGTCGCAAGTAGAGAACTTTTGCAACTACAACTACAACTGCATTTATAAGTTGCAAGGTAACAAATCGCTAAAACTAATGCAAACTGTGCCAAGTTGCAATTGCAGTTACAACCCTGACAATTGAAGTGAATTAAATGGACCCTTAATGCCACCCCTCAAATAATGCTGAATTTGTGGCTACATCAATGTATGGAATTAAAAAAAATATTCCCTATCCATACAGTTACATGTCATCAGTATGTGGATATGTGGGTTTTATATGGGTTATTGGATATCCGTTTAGTGTGGATGTCACAAACTCTATATATATGTAATCCATCTCTAATCAATCTGATAATTCTCTCTCCTAACATGGTATCAAAGAGCGTAGGTTTAAAAAAAAACCTAGAGCAACTGCCACCAACCCTCCTTCCCACCAGGAGATCTCCAGGACCTCTCCTCTCTCCGGCCCTTTCTACCGCCTCTCCACCACCCTCTGACCACACCCACCCTTAATGTCGGCCAGTCGGACCAGGACTAGCGCCCTGAGCACCTTGGCTGCCGGCTTTGGGGCCATGATTCAGGCCGATCAGCCCCTTAAAGTCCTTGCTAGTATGGGGTCTCCTATGGTGTGCATAACCTTCTGGTGACTATATGTGCCTGCTAGTGTGTCCATGCCTACTGCCTACCCTTCATGGCCTCTTCCTCCAATACCTCCCATAATGCGTGGCTGAGGAATCTCAGCGGTACATCTATCAAGTTGAATGGAAAGAACTATCTTTTGTGGGCCCAAGCATTCGAAGTGTTTCTCGATGCTCATCGGAAGATCAAGCACATTACTCAAGATCCACCTGATGCGAAAGATGCCACCTACGAAGACTGGTTTGCCAATGACTGTGGGGTGATTTCGTGGCTTGTGAACAGTATGGAGGAAAATATTTCTCGTGGTGTGATCATGCTCAAGCCAGCAAGGAAGATTTGGGATACATTGAAGAGTACCTATGACAATGAGAAAAACATCTCACGAGTGTGTGAACTCTATGAACAGCTATTCACTCAGCAATGAGACCAATCAGTTCAAGACCTCTATACCTCTGTTCGGAGACTACTAGATGAGTTGGAGGTCTACCAACCGTTTGTTGCTGACATCGCCAAGATGAGGGAGTATCATGAGGAACTTGTGGTGGCAAAATTCCTGTCTGCCCACAAACCCGACATTGCCTCAGATTCACGGATCTCCACTGACGCTTCTTCTCCACACACCGATCAGTCTCCCTTGGTCAGTTATGGACGTGGACGTGGATGTGGCCGCAGTCGTGACTCGGGGGAGGACGTGGCGTTGGTCGTGGGAATCGGAAGTGTGACAAACCAGAGTGGGCTCAGCAAGCTGCTATATCTACTATATCTACTGATCCATCACATGAACCACTTGATTATCTCTCAAGCTGAGTATGACAAATTGGTCCAGTCCGCTAAAGCCGTCGTGCTCATTGCTACCCATGCTGCTCCATCAGGTATGCATGCCCATTATATATCTCCTAGTAAGAACTGAGTTGTCAATTCAGGTGTGTCAAAGCATGTCTGGTACAAAACGAGTCTTTTCTGCTTTATCTTCTACTTTGAACCCAATCCTGTGTGGCTGGTCAGCATGTGGTGTCTCTTCAAAATAAACTAACTCTTCATGATGTTCTTTATGCTCCAAATTTTCCTATCAATCTTCTTTCTGTCAGTCAAATTACAAAAGATCTTCAATGTGCCATAACTTTTTTCCTTCCTATGTTCTTATGCATGATCTGCTGACTGGGAGACGGATTGGTTCAGGACCTGAAAGGTGTGGCTTGTACCATCTCCGCAGTGCCCAACAATCAACTGGCTCAGCTTATACCTCCATGTCTATGGATTATTCCTATTTATCGTATTGTCATTTGGGACACCGGTCTATTACAAAGCTGATGAGTATTCTACCTACGTTATCGTCTTTTAATCCTTTTAATTATGAATCATGTCAACTTGGGAAACACACAAGGTCTTCTTATTCTCTCGTCAAGAAAATCGTAGTGTTGTTCCCATGAAGTTAGTTCATTCACGTTTCGTAGTGTTGTTCCCATGGAGTTAGTTCATTCAGGTGTCTGGAACCATGTCGTGTCGAGTTTTGTCTTGGGCTTTCATGATTTTGTGGTCTTTATAGATGACTTCTCTCGTATGACTTGGGTCTATCTTATCAAAGACAGAATTCAAGTAGCTAATGTAACAAAAGGTTTTTTTCAATGAAATAAAAACTCAATTTTCTAAGTCATTGCATGTCTTTCGTACTGATAATGCTCTTGAGTATGTGCAATGTGATGTCTCCCTTCTTTGTGAATCCCAAGGCATTCTTCACCAAACCTCCTATCCTCGAACCTCCCAACAAAACGGTGTTGCTGAGCGTAAACATCGTCATCTGTTGGATGTTACTCAAACAATCATGATGCAGATGAACATTCCTAAGATTTTGTGAACCAATGTTGTACTTACTGCTAGTCATATCATCAATGGAATGTCTTCTTCTGTTCATGGTCAAGTTCCCCATTGTCTTCTATTTCCTAAAAAAAAGCGTTCCCTCTACCACTGAAGGATCTCGTTCCAACATCTCCTTCTATTTCTTCTACTATCGATCCCTCAGACAAGAATTTTAAGTTTAAATCCAAGCGGAAGAAGAAAAATCAGGCTAGCCAAGATGGTCCCTCCAATTCTCCATCCTTTGACGAAGGTCCCCACACCACAACTTCTCCCATTGTTATTCCTGATAGTGACCTCCCTATTGCACCGAGGAAAGGTAAACGTTCCACTGCAAAGTCATTTATTGCTCATCTATTATCCTGTTTTGTCTCGTGATCACCTACATCCTATATACCAGATGTTTGCTCTGTCTTTGTCATCTGTTTCTATGCCCAGGAACTACCAGGAGGCATTATGTGTACCTGAGTGGAAAATTGCAATGGATGAAGAGATGTCAGCATTACAGTCTCGTAGGACCTGGGAACTGTATCGCCACCCGCTAGTGCCAAGATTGTCAGTTGCAAATGGGTATTCACAGTCAAATATCGTCCTGATGGCAATATTGACATATACAAGGCAAGACTTGTGGCACGTGGATTTACACAAACTTATGGTGTGGATTACTTTGGGACTTTTTCTCTAGTTGCTCAGCTAAAATCAATTAGAATATTGTTCTCCTTGGCTATCAATCAATGCTAGCTTCTCTATCAGCTTGATGTCAAGAATGCTTCTCTATGGAGACTTGTCTGAGGAAGTGTATATGGCGCAACCCCCAGGATATATTGCTTAGCAAGAGACTCAAGTTTGCAAGCTGAGGAAAGCAATATATGGTCTCAAGCAAAGTCCACATGCGTAGTTCGCAAAATTCAGTGAAGTAGCTGAGCAAGCTGGGTTCAGGAGGTGTAATTTAGATCATTCAGTTTATTAGGTAAGGATCCACATCCTAGCTGACTATGTAGATGATATTCTAGTGACTGACAATGATAGTGCAGGTATTGAGGAGAGCTGTAAGTTCCTCAAGAAACACTTCGTAACTAAAGACTTGGGCCGACGTAGATATTTCTTGGGAATTTAAATCACACATGAGAAAGATAGAATTACATTGTCCCAGAGGAAATATGTGCTTGACTTGCTGCAAGAAATAGGAATGCTCGGTTGCAAACCAGAACGTGCTCCTATAGACCCTAGCTTGGACCTGTGGGGTGAGTCATCTGAGATACTTGAAGATGCTGGAAGGTATTGATGACTTGTTGGAAAGTTGATATATCGTACGGTGACACGACCTGACATTACCTTTGTTGTTGGTATAGTCAATCAGTTCATACATAAACCCAGAGAGGTTCATTGGAAAGCTACCTTACAGTCGTTGTCCTATTTGAAGAATGCACCTGGTAGAGGTTTACTCTACAAATGTCACGGACATCTTGAAGTCACCAGTTACTCAGATTCTAGCTATGCTGGTGACAAAGGAGATATGAAGTCTATGTTTGGTTATTGTACCTTTGTGGGAGGAAATCTCGTTATTTGGAGAAGACACAAAATGTTGTGTCACGGTCCAATGTTGAGGCTGAATATAGAGCTATGGCCACTGTTTTAAAAAACCTCCGCCTAGTCCGTTTAGACGTACGCCTAGGCTTAGGCGGTACCTAGACTGCCTAACTAGCGCTTAGCGCCTAGGCGGTATTTAAGCTGCCTACCTAGATTTTACGAGCGTTTAGAGAGCATTGTCTGCTTACGTGGATTGCATTATGATTTTATGTGTCGTAGCCTACACGTCCTCCAAACTCCATTAACCTCCAAATATGAACACCTCCACTATCTCCTCCGACCTTCAACAAAACATCATCGACCACCACTTAAATGAAGAAAGAAAAAAAACGTCCAAAAACCGCTTAGGCGTCCGCCTAGGCGACTAAGCGTTGGGCGCCAAGTCCGACGCCTAAAAGCGCTCGGCGTGTAATGTAACATTGGCTACGGCACATACTGCTTATGAGATGATGTGTGAGATGACGTGGATAAGGTCTTTTATGACAGAGCTTAGGTTTCCTGTGATGATCAAGTGGCAATCTACATAGCTAGCAACCCAGTGTTCCATGAACGAACCAAGCATATAGAGGTGGATTGTCACTTTATCAGGAATGCAGTTCTAAGTAGCCAGATTACCACTTCATTCACATCCTCTTCTACACAGCTTGTAGATGTGTTCACTAAGGCTGATTCTAACCACTTTTAGTCCTTGTGTAACAAGTTGGCCACGACAGATCTATATGCTCTAGCTTGAGGGGAGTGTTAGATGTCATGAGTTATTAGTATGTGGATATGTGGGTCTTATATGGGTTATTGGATATCCGTTTAATGTGGATGTCACAAACTCTATATATATGTAATCCCTCTCTAATCAATCTGATAATTCTCCCTCCTAACATATACCAAATTGTTAAAAAATGACATAGATGTAACTACAAGGTTCTTCATGATCCAGACAAGGTCTAGTACATAAACTTCATTCAATGCTAAGACAGCTAATAAGCCAAGGGTATGAAACAATCAAAGAAACATGCAGCTCAAAAAGCTTATAGAATGAGCACACACATAAAAGCAAGCAGAACTTACGGGACACCCATTTTTTGGACAATATGGTGCTTAATGGCTGCTCCAATGGATTGCTGGGGGCTCTTCACGGAAGATATATATGGCAAAATATATGATCCAAGCGTCTTTTCTGCATAGCAAATCCAGCCTGGGTGCAGGAAGGCAGATGAACCAATGTTATCATTAAGGTAATGCTATAAGCAGTGACAATATCTGCCAAAATGGATCAGCCTTAACAAAGATTAATTAATGTTACCACGCCAACCATTTTATTCACTCTAAATTTGAGTGGAACATAGAAGTCATAAGTTTAGCAGTCAATGATGATAAAAAAAAAGACAGCAGCAGGGAAGATTGTGTATCAGACCACTGGAATTTCTTAATGAATTTTGTATTTTGAAAATTTGTATGTTTTAAAAATGTTGGACAAAAAATGACGCCTTTCTGAAATCAATACTTTGATATCCTAGATTCAAATCATACCGATTAAGAAACAAAAATATATAATCTTACATATAATTGCACTACTACTACCAGAGTGCCTGGAAGATGAAGAGATCCTATTCTATGCAACAACATATGCGACAGGAACTACAAATTTCCAATATGTTAAAAGCATAGTTCATGATAGAAGCAACTCCTAGCAGTTTAGACAGGTGGCCCACCTAACACTTGCGAAGTCTATTTCATGCCTAGCACCTGGACGCTCAGGGCCAAAACAAAACGAGCATGGACTCCTTTTCCTGAATTCTCGTCCAGCCTTTTTTATGAATCTGGAAACAACCAATTCTTCTTTTCTCAGAGTACATACATTGTCCAGCATATGGCCTCGATGCACATTTTAAAGTCATTACCCCGAGAGAAGGGCATATTTTACTAGAGAAAATGCACCGACTCCTTAAAAGTATCAAATGATAACTTGTTTGATTTTTCAAAAAAGAAAAAGAAAAAAAATACCTGGACAGGCAGATGAAATCATTGGAATAGTTGATCCATATTCTTTGCCAGTACTCAGATTATGCTGATTGTACCGGGAAATAAATTCATTACAACACTCAATGAGGGATAAATCCCGACTAGAACTTGTATCATACACGGCTTTCACTCCCAGAGATTTGAAAAATCCTGTAAGTTTCCTGAAGACCTGAAAAACGGAAACACCAAAGTCTTTGTTTAGTATCTGTAAGTTGATATATAGAGAGAGCAAATTCTAATATGACTAACAGAATGTTGCTGTTGGTGAAAAAAAAAGAAGCAAATTTTTCCGTGGAATATGCACATATAAAGAGAACAGGAAGTCTGTTAAAGATCATGATATGTTCAACACCTGTGCAAATCTTTTCTTACTATATAATACCCCTGTTCAGAAAGTGTGTTTGTTTTATTTCTTTTGAAGTATACATGTCTCTAAGTGAATATGAATCCTCAAGGTAATCTATTGTTCTCCCCTTCTTCAAGGCTCTTACCTAGCATGAGATAATTCTGAAGATTGGTGAGTTACTCCTTGGTTGAACGAGCTTAAGTGGGATGATCAATAAGGTTTCTTCTCTATCGACTAGCTATTGCTACATTTACTGTGAGCCATTTGTTTCCATTGTTTCCTTAATGCAGAATTTCACAAATATGTGTTGACAGAAAGTGTCTCAGACAATAACAATAGTGATACTCCAGGTGATACAAATATTAACAAATAACTGCCTTTTTTTTAAATCTTTCTTCTTCAATTGTATGAAATACCAACACGTTTAAACATGTGATAAAAGATGAGGCTGCATAAAATGGAAATTTGGATCTTCTCAGTGGCTTTCACACTGACATGGTTACTTCCCAGCTAGGTTACCTAGACACTTCATTGAGGCTCCCGTATCTGTCCATGTCAATGTCCGACACTCTGTGGACACTTCTTGAATAATATACATACATTTTCAAACGTATACTCGATTATATAACACATGCTTTAGTTCAAAAAATTTGTGATACACTTCTTGAATGTATATCGTACACTTCACCTCAAATTATACAACTCATTGGAACTCAGGACATGTTTGTTTTAGCATATACCTACTTCATAAGTATGATTTTAACAGGACGTTTCGGTTTCTAGTTCAAAAACAATCGGTTTTTCAATTTATAATCTACTCGATAAAAGAATATAAAAATGGTATAAGGATTGTAGTTCTCATAACATGTGAATGAAAAACAATATCGATCTCATGTAGATTATTACTTATAAGATGTATGTATACAGTCATGTCCCCATATCCTAACTTTTATAATTTTCCGGTGTCCAATATCCACAGCCGTGTCTGTATCCGCACCTGCACCCATATCCATGTAACATAGCTTCCCAAGAACATTTTTGAAATAGTGAAATTTGACTGGATACTCCAGCTTATTTTTCTTGAATAGAAATTACCGGATGATTTCTCATAATCACATGGTAAGAAATTCCAAGCGAAAGACGCAATATAATGATCTCATGCCTTTTTTTTGTCACAAAAATATACTATTTCAAATCCATCATTCTGTAGGATGAATAAACTCCTCAGCAAGCTCCAAAGTAAATGTTCTAACACTTGAGAACTTAATGATTATAAAGAAAACATATCTAAAAACTGTAACATTCTGGCTACCTGAACTGGAGTGAGATCGAAGTAAGCAGCTAAGGAAGCTCTTGATTGAGGAGATAGCGATACAATAACATGCTTGTCTGAATTGATATGAGATATGAGCTCATCCAAGCTTTGCTTCTCAAGCATAACTGTTTCAGCTGAAGTTATGCAGCCACTGAAAAACCATTAAGAAACTCAGTTATATATTCCAGAGTATATGATGTAGAAATTTATTTATCATCACAAGTGACGAAAATACACAATGCAAGCAAACAAACTGGCCTGAAGTATATGATATGCAAATTCATCATATGTAGAATCAAGGTTATCGATAGCGGATAGCGTCGCATAGTGCTGAGACATCGCTAAGGCTATTTGAGGTTATTGCAGCAAAATAGCGGTGAAAAGCGCGAAGCCAAATAGCGGTCTAATTTAGACATGTACAGAACAATAAGAAAAATTAAAGAAAAAACTAGAAAATCTAAAAGTGCATATTTGATGATTTAAAGAGATCCTAAACATGAAATAGACATGTAAACGTCACAAAATACCGAAGACGACTGGAGGAGGAGTCAAGGAGTCGTCGTCTTCGAGAAGATGAGCTAAGCGGTGAGAGGAGTATAGTAGAAAGGCTCATGGCGAGAGGAGGAGGAAGTGTTGAGGGAGATGTCGAGCGGGAATATGCAAGAAACCGCGGGAGGTGGTGGGATGAAATGGTTGCTGGTCGGGTTTAATTTTAAAAAAATAAACCTCAAACCACTTTCAAATAGCAGTCAAAAAGCGGATTTTGCCCGCAATCGCCGCTATTCACTGCTATGACGTACTATTAGCCGCTTTTGCGAGTGGAAAGCACATATCCCGCAATATGTCACTGCTATTAGGCGATAGCGTAGCGGGAAGGAACCGCTAACGTTGTTAGCGCCGCTATTTGTGGCGCTATTTACCGCTATTTATAACAATGTGTAGAATGTGTTGAACCAATACATAGATGTAATGAGAAGAAATATCTCAAAAAGCCACTAATAGGCAACAAAAATGATTATCATCCAAAATTGTAATACAAATATATCATTAGTTTCCAGGTCGAGCATGGAAAACTGTTAAAATGGATAAATGACAAAAAAAAGGGTTTTACTTTGAGATCCTGAAAAATGTAGCTATTCTTCTGAGTTTTTCAACACGGTTGAGCTGTTTATATAGAAATTTCAGCTAAGCTGTAATCAATGGAAAAGAAATTACAGACATAATTTCACAATTATAACAATGACAAGCTAATCCTTATAGACCAGGCACACTGAACTTAAGAAAATTTAGAGTAAGAGGCAATAGTTAAATAGGGGAGCTCCTGATTGGTTTGTCATCGGTTTTTCGAACAATCGATTATATAAATAAGATAATTTCATGGTTCTTTGAATTCATGGTTCTTTGAATTTCCGTAGAACTTGTTATTTATTTCTCAATCCTAAAATGTGACCTCTTCAAATCGATTGTATGTTAAATTTCTCGGAATGTTCTTGGAGTCGTCTTACACATGTATTTTCGGAAGTCTCCCCCTGTATAAGATGGCCTGGTTTGTATATTTGGCAGCATTTTCTTTTTATTAAGGTTGAGCGGATTCTGTGGGTTTGTAACAAGTAGTTCCGTACCGTTTAAGTGGAGAGAACACAACACGGTCCACTGCTTAATTTCTTGAACTCTGCTCTACAAAGGTCAAGTAAAACTATAAAAGATCGCGCTACAGTACAATACCTGCAGGCCAAGCAATCCTTCAGCGAAATTTTTACTGCATCTGTGTCCGACTCCTTGATTCCGAGGAAAGACTTGTCTTGATTCTACACAGAAAATTCATTCAGAAAAACTGACGACTGTAAGCGAGAGAGAGAGGGGAAAAACTTTTTTTTCCCCCTTCCAATAATCAGCTCAAATAATTAGGAAAAATCCCTCGGTAAGTCGACAAAAAATTCAGCAAGCCGCCCACAAAAAGAGTAATTGTAAAGAAAAGAAATACCTCAGATGAGGATTTATCAGCCCTGGGCTTGAGCTTCTTCAAGGAGACGATGCAGTCCTGCGAGGGAGCGATGAAATCATTGAGATCCGTGATTCGCAGCGCCGGAGAGAATTTCTCCGACATCTTCACTGCTACAGTAATTTTATTCCGATTTCTTTTTTTTTGCCCCTTCTTCGGATAATCAATCGGTTCTCGTTCCCAAATTTGTGGGAGGAAAGCGAAGGAGGAGTTGAAAGAGGGAAGATGGTAGAACAGGGAAGCGGCGGGGGGAATGGGCTCGGGCTGGGTTGGCCTGTGGATACTTAAGCCGAGTCGGTTTCGGGTTGACAAGAACCGACCCCAAGAATTTATTAAGTCTAGAAGATAATTAGGATTAATGCGAAAAAATGTAAAAATATATATACTATTATATAGAAAACATTGTACAGGCAGGCGAAAAAAATGTATGAAAGGGGGAACATATTCTCCTTTCAACAATAATTGTGAGTGCCATAAGCTAATTTAACAAGAGACGTATCATCTTTTACTTTTCTCTTCTTTCTTTTTTGTCTTCCAGAATATTCCATATCAGATAAATATTTTTCTCTTTATTTTTCTTCTTCTTTCTTTTTCCCTAGGCTATTCCACACAGTACAAAGGTGTGGGGGTATTTAGTTATCATATTTTATGGTATTTTCATATCACGTTTCAAACAAGTTTCGTACAAATAAATGAAATATTATGTTTTTATCCCGCTTTGTAGGAAAAATGAAGAAAACAAATAAGAGCTCAAATGAAGATATCTTAAGCCTAGATGAAGCACAGTGAAGCTCAAGAAAAGTCCAAGTAAAGCTCAAGGAAAATTAAAATAAAAAATCATGATAGCTCATCTTTGAAAGTGTTGTAACATGTTTTATGTAGAAGTGTGCATGATAATTTTATTTAATGTTATCAACATGGAATTGTATATACATAATTACATATGCATTATATTTTAAGTTCTTAAAAAAATTATATCATATTATATTATATTATGTTAGACTCTCTTTAAAAGTGTGATTTGGAGTAAATTTCGTGGTTAGTATTACCACTGACCCTTTTACATATTACATTCTAGTCATCCTAATTAATATGTTTAATCCAGTCATCAATCCACTTTGATATATTATCATCACATAATCAATTACCCATCTTTAAATATTGTTAAATAGTTATTATAAAAAATACATTGTTATGTATTATTAGCCTAATTATTATATATTTAAATATTATTATCTTATTCTAATCGATTGCTGTATCTTTAAATAGTTTGTTTTTAGATTAGATTCTTTTCCATAATCCACTTGCATAGTAAAAAATAAATAAAACTAAAATGAATAATTAAGATATTTTGCCACTTGCTTTGCAGGTGCATCCCATTTAGTATATAAATAAAAATTATGAGTGCCTTTTAGAAAAATACCAACATGCATAGTAGAAAAAAAAATAAAAGAATGACAATGTAGAAAATATAAGTGTAAATATTTTTCTTTTGGAAACTTGGAGTTTTGTGCATTTGGCTTCTGCATTTTATCTTGCAACAAAAGAAGTGAAACTTATACAAATGATATTGGGGGAAAATGTGTCAAGGTCCCAAAATAGGAAAGCTCTTGAGGCCAGCCCCCTGTATTATTTTTCATGTGAGACAGCCCCAAATAAATCAAGTAATTGTGTTTTAGTCCCCATATACTCTTCCAAGTCAGCACAGACAGAAATGTTTTGAGAAAACACAATTCTACCTCTTAACCCGTTCCCCCAAAACTGCACTCTCTCTCTCTCTCTCTCTCTCTCTCTCTCTCTCTCTCTCTCTTCTCTCTTCTCTCTTCTCTCGCTCAATCCTCCCTAAACTAGAGAATCCAAAATCAAAATCCTAGTTTTCACTTAAACGTCCATAAAATCCGTCAAAATTTTCTATAAAAAAGAGAGGAAAATGGCCGAGAACCCTAATGTGGAGAAGGGTGAAGGAGACGACACCTAATTCGAAGTGGTTCATCATCAGTGTCGCTCGGCTCGGTTAACGAAGGAAGCTGCACGAGAATCACCCGTTGTAGGCAATAAAAATTGCTTTTATACTAAAGTCCAAAGCTCACCCGCAGGACCTCGCCTGCGTGCTCAAACTTGTAAGAACAAGCTTGTTCTGCGAAGCTAGCCTGATTGTTTGACTCGCCAGCACGAGTCAAGCTCGCCTGATTGCTTGAATCAGTAGAGCGAGTCAATCTTGACTGATTGCTTGACTCTCCAGCACGAGTCAAGCTCTCCTGATGGCTTGACTCGCCAACACGAATCAAGCTCACCTGATAGCTTGACTCGCTCACACGAGTCAAGCTCACCTGAATGCTTCGCTCGCCCACACGAGTCAGGCTCGCCTGTAGGAAGTTCGCCCGCACGAACCAAGCTCACCAACAAGGTTAAGCTCAAACGCCTTAGGGGTTCTCCAGTCAACCTCGCATGTTCGCCAAGCTCGCCTGCAAGCTTGCTTGAGCATTCAACATGCACGCAAGCTCGCATGCAAGCCCGTCAGGTTTGCCTGAGCAATCAAGCAGATGCTTGCTTGTGGGAGTGGGCATACCCACTTCCCACAGTTTAAGGGGGTGTATGGTACTCCTCACCTATGAGTGGTCACATCCCACAACTCAAGGGAGGGAGTATGGCTCTCCTCAATGATGCATGGTCACATTCCATGATTCAAGGGAGTGACCATGCTTCTCCTCATCTATTTATAAGCCACATTTGGCTACATGAAAGGGGCTTGGCAGGGAGTGGCTCTAATTCTTGACTCTTCGCAAGTTCTTACATTTAGCCTTATTTGTGCATTCGGCCTTGATACTCATCAAGCTCGGGTATTCGAACTCAATCACACGAGCTTCTACCACGCGCTGAAGCTCAAATCCAATTTCGGTCGGATCGTCCAAGGGAAGCAAACTCAACGCAAGCATTCGAGGAAGGCATCCTATCGCTACCAAAGAACCCACGTTAAATAAGAAGAACATTCTCTTTGCTTCTATTGTGATTTTGATTCTTGATTTGTAATAATCAATTCTTATTAATACAAATCTCCATTGAGAACCAAATTTTACGCCCTACAGAAGATGGTGACAACAGTGGAAGATACTACTTCTTCAAACAAGATGATGGTGGCGCAATTCGACGAAATTGTGGAAGGGACGATAGTCGAGTCCCTCGTGATTGAGTTTGATCAAGCTAAGTACGAGGAGTACTTATCTTCATCCTCCTCTGCCAACAAAGCATCTCGCTGATACCGCAGAGTTGTGCGTATGGCCCAGCCCCAAGTGGCCGAGGCAGCCACGCCTGAAAGCTCTACCCGAACTATGACAGGGGGATCTATCTCCCCCAAACCAATCAAGGCCAAGTCAAAAGGCCAAAATGCAAGTCTAAGGGCTGCTCGATGGGTCATCAAATGATCCTCGCATGCCCCTATGCGAGAAGAGATGACGATTCGCGTTGGCGCGGATCATGCCTTCGTTGTCAACATGAACACTCCTCTCTCAAAGAGAGCCAAACAACAGCGACGACAAGCTTTCACCCACCAAGAGGCTCAAGCCTTCATCTCCTATGACGGGCTGAACTACTATTTAGGTCTGAAAAAGGCCAAACAAGAGCACAAAGTTCTCAATTCTGGCGAACTAAGCCGATCAGGCGAGCCCTACTCTGTGGGCAAGGTTCCCAATTCTGGTGAACCGCTTAAATCAGGCGGGCATTCATTTTACAGGCCACATTCCTAATTTTGGTGAACTGGGTCAATCAAGCAAGCCCTCTAATTCAGGCAGGTTGCCCAAAATAGGTGAACCCCATCGGGCTCACCTGATAACCAAACCTCGCCCGCTAGTGCTCCTTCGCCATAAAGGCAAAGCAGTGGTTCGCCAAGCAGGGGAACCTCGGCCGAATGAATGAGCAGCTAAAGCTCGCCCAAATAGGCAACCTCGCCTGTGGAGAAGAACTCGCCTAGATTCGACACTTGGTGAATTTTTCGAGTGTTCTCATAAGTCTTCTTCTGAACCTTTTTCGCATGATTGCGCGTTTGGTTCTTCTGACACCAGGAGTTGTCACCATCAATCTATGGGGGATCTCAGAGAATGTTTGACCTGCAAACACAAGATTCACGAGGTGAATCCTCAGTGCCACAGTAGGAGGCTCATTAAGGCAATGCTTGCTGACTGCCAGTGTTTCGAAACACCAAATCATCAGTGTTCAGGAGGATTTCTCAGCAGCCTCCAGAGTCAAGACCCCATCGTCGGAGATGCAATCGTTAGAGGATACAGGCTGCTGATGATTCAGAACTCCCTGCCACCATAGTTAACATGACAGGGAGAGGTAAAGCCAAACATTCGGATTCATCAGATCCAGAATTTTTCCCGGGATTGAAATACCTCTCCATTGAACACGAGGTGTCTACCAACACACATGTACTCAAACAGGGGTTACCACCCCATTTGATTACGCATGTTTAGTACCCATCTCCAACGATGATGACGAAGTTTGCTCCGCAATGGCAACATCTCAAGCCTCAAGTTCAGTTCAGGGCAAGCACACAAAGGTGCACATGGTGGAAGTTATAATGAGGTTGCTAGGATATTTGAAGAGCAGCAGACTGCAATAGCCATGCAATAAGCAACGATCAACTCCATAAAAGAGATGTTGGAATAGCTTCTAAGCAGGAAAAAGAAAAAGAAGAAGGCTCCGCGGGCTATCCCGAAATTCTCGAAGAACAAAGAGTGGGAACCTACTCCTCCCCACACAACGCAAGGAGAAGATTACCCCGAGTCATCTTCAGATTCCTCATCCAAATCATCGGGAGGAGCATCACGTGCTGGAAGCACTCTCCAAGACAAGAGGCTCGACGAGTTCCAAAACCAGCTCGACGCCTTAAAACTTTAGAAAAGCATGAACTAGTTGGGGGTGGTCAGACCGTATCCAGTTGAATGGGATACAGCCCCTTACCCGGTAAAGTTTAAGCCCACGAGCTTGGTCCAATTTAATGGTAAGGGGTCTCCCTCGCAACACATCTATTACTTCCTGTCCCAAACAGGTTTTCTTACAAGGAATAATACTATCATCACTCGACTGTTCATTAGAACTCTAAAGGGAGTAGCCTTCGAATGGTTCCGTAAGTTAGAACCAGGCTTCATCAAGTCATGTGCTGATATGGAAAAACTTTTCTTGGCCCGTTTCTTCGACGATAACACGGAGGTGTCGATGGCCACTCTACTTGCTAAAAAGCAAAGAAAAGGGGAGTTTGTCAAT